ATATATATATGCGTATATATGTGTTTGTGTGTGTGTCTGTGTGTGTATGCATGCATGTGAATAAATCCACCATCCACGTCTACTATTTTTCTCCATGTGTGGGACGCAGGTGGAACACTCGCACTTATAGCCGTTCACCTTTCTCGGCAGGTGGAAACAAGGCAACAGAATGGTGTGTGTTTGTGTGTGTGTGTGTCTTTCTGTCGGTCTGGCTGACTGTCTAGTTTTGTCTTTTTTTAAACACATTCTACCTATTCATCCACTCAACTAGACGACCTCATCTCGCCGTTTATCCAAGCATATATTCCCTAACCCATCCATCCATTCGCCCGTCTATGCTTCCATCCATCCATCCATCCATTCGTTCATCCACCCATCCATCAACCCATCCATCCACCCATCCATCCACCCATCCATCCACCCATCCATTCATTCGTTCATCCTTCCATCCTTCATCTATCTATCCGTCTATCCGTCTGTCAGTCCTTTGGTTCGCTAATCCACACTGGACCGTCCTTTAACACTTCTTAGCATCCATACATTCTTCTATCCATCCATTCAACCATCCATCCATCCGTCCGTCCATCCATCCATCCATCCTCCCATCCATCCCTCCATCCATCTTTTAAAGACCTATGATTTCACTTATCTATTTTTTCCCATCCTTACTTCCATTCCTCTAGCGCTGTCTTCTGTCTGTTCTTCAATTCACCAGTTCGAGAAACGCACCTTGTTGAGAGAATAAGTGAACAAGACTTCGCTTTTCTTTCCTGCACTCTCATATTTCCTCTCGCTTCCACTCTTAAGCCGATATACACTTACTCGACAAGTCGGGTGTGCTGGATGGGGGTTTGTCGGGTCAGAAAGTCCGCTAAATCGTTGTAGACTAAGGGTTTGTATAACACCCAAATGTCGATAGGAAGGACTGGTGACTACAGTGCAGCAGTTAAAAGCTTCGCTTTCGTATGCAGGAGAACCAAGCTTGATTCCCGAATGGGAAGAGGGAAGAACTTTTATCGAGTATCTCGGTCTTTCTGCTGGTATGTTGCTTCCTTCTCAGCCTAGGTTGATCCGAACAGGAAGAATCAAAGCTCGCCTCTTTCATGACCTAAATTGTGACGATGTTGGCGTTAAATATCCAGTTGTATATACATATAATGTATGTATATTCATTAATATATA